TCAGTAAGATTACAGATGTATCATTACCTTTATAGTTAAGGCTGTTAACCCATGGTGAGCACAGGAATATAGAATTTATCTTCATTTCGTATGACTTACTGTCTTTTTTTTTTTCTTAGTCTTTGTATGGTCGCTGAGTGAAACTGTTTACTTTACACAATCAAACACATTTTTATTGCTAAGAAGCATTACCTGCTACCTTTGTAAAGCTTGCACATCTCTTGCAAATGTTTTCTCTTAAGCATATGTTTTAATCGGGGTTGCCAGTAGAAGTCAGGAGGAATTATAATGATCAATGCTTCTTGGGATAGACGAATTTGTGCCCTAAGATCACTCCGTGCTGTTCATCAATGAGAGTGAGTATGTGTAGAAGTTTGGAGGGGGTAGAATAGCTACTCAAACCAAGCCTTATGGGCTATACCTTGTTTTCCTTTCACTAAAAATAAAGAGCAAAAAGATTCAGTGTAGGAGAAGGTGAGATGCTGGGAGAGGAAGAGGAATTGTGGATTTATAATTGGAGAAGGATTGGCAGTTAATGCCTTAAGTGTGTGCTTTCAAGGCTCCAAACAAATTTTAAGAATTTTTAACATTAAAAAAAATGAATGTTGCAGTAGTATAGGTCTTGATATCTTTGTCCTTGGACTGTCTTTAAAACCTGTCACATCAGAAATCCCAACTTTCCTGTGGTAGAAAATGCCTTTTTTTTTTTAAGCTTTTAACAAAGGACTTTCAAATCCAGTCACTTTGTTTACCATTTTGGGTTTTTCCTCTTCAAATCCAAAATCTGTCGTGGCCACTAGAGCCAGGAGCACATGCTGTGTATCATTTTAAAAGCTGGGAATTCCAGTTTTTAGGTAGCATGCAGCATAATATTTAACATTAGAGGTGTGAAATATTAGCAGATGATGATGTGAGAACCCTTAGCAAATATGCTTGCTAATTCTGGTTCACCAACTTCTTCCTTAAACAGTAAACTACTTAAGCAGCAGTAAATACAAAATGATGGGTATGGTGGGGAGGTTAGGAAGGAGGGGAATTAATTCATGAATGGAGTTAATAGCTAATAATTTTTTCAAAATGGTCCTGTTACACTTAAACACAGCATTTCCTTCTCTGTAGAGAGTGAATTTATGCAGTGTTTTTTGCAAGTGATATATTGATGGGTAAGGTCTAATATACAATCCTAGTATTGGACTTGATTATGCTATTGTGATCACAAACTATTTATAGAAGCTCTGTATTATTGTTAATCTTATTACACTAATATATGCCATTTTTTGCAGACCTACATAACAAATTAACTGCATATTCTAGGATTTTCAGACTTTTTACAACTGAAACTGCACCATTGTTTGGACTTTTGGGGGGGGAGGTCTTTTTTCTCCCCACATACGAATTTGATTTTGTAGATTGCTTCACCCTTAATTCTCCTCTGCCTCTTTCTTTATATTATTTATATTTATATAAATAAAAAAATCGAAGTGGTCTGGTGTGGAATTTAGTGAAGCATTGTAGCTTTTGTATAGTCTTGAAACTGAGGATGTTTCCTTTTGTTGTTCATCCCAGGAGCAAAGTTCTACCCGCAGTGCATTTGAGAGAGAAAGTACGGATTTGTTAATGGCGCAAAACTATAAATCATCTTAGCTAGTATTTTTCTGAAAGTATCTCAGAAGCAACATACTGACTTGTTCGTTTGAAAGAAACGACTTAAAAATTGAGTTGTACATGAACTATTTTGTCACCACCATATGTTTGGGTAACTAGCTTTACCTTTGTCCTTCCCTGGTCCTTAAGGATGTGTTGAGTATCGTCTGCTTCAGAGCCCTTTTTTTTTTTTTAATTTAATTACTTTTTTTATTTTTGGGAGTGCTGGGGAAGGGTGATCCAACCCATATTAAACAGTGACTATATCCAGAGAAAACAACGTAGGACTTACAGAAACAGTGAGAGCACTAGCTACTATGCACTAGTACTGCAAAAATTAAATGTTAAGGGTCAAATGCTTTGGTGCTTGTAAAAGAGGTCACTGAGGGTGTCGTGCTTCCAGGGCTAGTCGCAGCTTTGTCCCCTTTCTGTTTTCTCACACTGCACCAGCTCAGGTGGTAGGCCTTGTGCTGTTAGAGTGGTCTCAGCTGGAATCTCATGATTCTTCCTGTCTTGCATACGGGGTAGTGCACCAGTTTTATCAAGTATATATCACCCTGCAGGTCTGGATATAAGATATAAGAACTGGATATAAGAACGTAAGAATTGCCATACTGGGTCAGACCATTCGTCCATCTAGCCCGGTAGCCTGTCTTCCAACTTTGAACAATGCCAGGGGCGTCAGAGGGAATGAACGGAACAGGCAATCATCAAGTGATCCATCTACTGTTGTCTGCTCCCACCTTCTGGCAATCAGAGGCTAGGGACACCCAGAGCAATGGGTTGCATCCCTGACCAACTTGTCTAATAACCACTGATGGACCTATCCTCCATGAACTTATCTAATTCTTTTCTGAACCCTGTTATAGTTTTGTCCTTCACAACATCACCTGGCAGTGAGTTCCATGGATTGACTGTGCACTGTGTGAAGAAATACTTCCTTTGTCTGTTTTATACTTGCTGTCTGTTAATTTTGTTGGGTGACTCCTGGTTCTTGTGTTATGTGAAGGAGTAAATAATACTTCCCTGTTCACTTTCTCCACACCATTCTTGATTTTATAGACCTCCAACATATCCTCTTAGTTTTCTGCTTTCTAAGCTGAAAATTTTTAAATCTCTCCTTGTATGTTCTATACCTTTAATCATTTTTGTTGCCTTTCTCTGTACCTTTTCCAATTCTAGTACATCTCTTTTGAGATGTGGCCACCAGAACTACACGCAGAATTCAAGGTGTAGTTGTACCATGTATTTATATAACGGCATTCTGATATTTTTCTGTCTTATCGATCCCTTTCTTAATAGTTCCTAACATTCTGTTAGCTTTTTTGACTGCCGTTGCACATTGAGCTGATATTTTCAGAGAATTATCCACAATGACTCCAAGATCTTTCTTGAGTGGGAACAGTTGATTTAGATCCCATCATTTTGTATGTATAGTTGGGATTGTTTTCCCATGTGCATGACTTTGCATTTATCTACATTGAATTTCATCTGCCACTTTGTTGCCCAGTCACCCAGTTTACTGAGATCCCTTTGTAACTTTTCACAGTCTGCTTTGGACTTAACTGTCTTGAGTTTGAGACACCTGCACCTCCTGTTAATAACTTTTGACCACTGAGACTGACAGCTTTCTTTAAAAAAAAAAATTATTTAGCAGTTGGAACAAAGAATTAGAGAATTTTAGTCTCATCTGATCTTAGACTTCACTGCAAGTTAAGTTAGGCGTTCTTGGTTACAGGAACAGAGCCGATTTGCAATCCTAGAAAGTCCTAATCCTCCTGTGTTTGAGACACTTTGGTGTCTGATCAACCCTGTTAGAACTAGTTCTGGTGCTCCCCAGGCAGTGTGTGCTAGAATTACTGAGGCTACTTGCTCTGGCATTGTTTCTTGACAGGCCTTAAATGTAAGTTACTAAAGGGTGACTTACTCAGAGGCTCATTTTCATTCTTTCCCTTGGTAGGTAGGCTGCATAGGGCAAAAGTTTACACCCCCACTTATCGGATAGAGAAAACAATGGCTAGTGGCAACCCACGACTCAGTTTTAACAATTATTAAAGACCATCCAGTATTTGTTAGTGGGCCTAGTCCAGGTTGATGCCAGTGCTCTTTCATCCCTCTCTAAACTTTGTGTGAAGAGGGAATAAGTTACTTTGAGAGGCACGACCACTGGAACTGATTTTAAGAATGGGTTTACTATGTGTCTTTCATATTATGCTAGTCCGTGCTTAATCAGATTACATTATTTGCTCATCAAATTAATCATCCGTAACCATTTCTAATAGTTGTTCTTATTTTGTGCAAAGAGTTCCAATGTTTATATGCAGTGAAGGATTTATACTCTGAAGATTAAAAATGTGACAGAACTCCTCCAAAAATAAAACTGCTTGTTCTCTTATGTAGAACCTTCTATACATCGAACCTCAGTTGTTAAAATAGCAACACAGTTTTCCATGACAGATAGTTTTGATTTAATTAGCCAATTTCAAAATATCAGGTTTGTCAAGGTATAATCTGTTTCAAAAGAGCAAATTCTATGAAGTCAGTAAAATTGGACTCAGCCCGGGAAGTAGTAAAAGTTGACAAACTTTTTGATATCTGGTGCCAATCCTCATCGTTTTGAGAGCCAACTCTAATTCTTGCAGAACCTGTTTTGAGATCATAATACAGGGGGTTTGAGTCTGTAAAACCGAGGGGGTTTGAGTCTGTAAAACCGATGGTGATTAGCTCTGTTTTTGTTGCTGTAGCAACAGAAATTACCAGCCTGTAAACTTCCAGAAGCTTCCTTCAGTTAACAGCTGTTAAACACTGGTAGCTGCATGTGCTATATGATGCACTACTATCTGAGGCCAAGATTAGTCAGCCCAATAGAGGCCTCACAAAGAGTGGTCATGGTCTGTGACCCAGCAACTTCTTAGAACCAACTGGCCTGGGGCAGAGAGAGGGTGCATAACGTTTACATGGATCTCCTGGGTTTGGTATGTACCTTCTAGCTCACCAAAGAGTTTCATGTGTTGCAGTATCCTTACTCACTATTTCCTGAATCTCTATTCTTTAATGAACCCTTCTCCCCCAATGAAAAGGGGTTTTTGTCAAAACAGAAGTTTCTTTGGGAAATTTTTGTTTTTTATAAAATTTTTTAGGTTTTCTTGGATTTTTTTTTTTTTTTTTTTGCTTTTTGACGAAAACCCAAAACCTTTTTCTTTTTTGAATAAACAAAAAAACACTTACCAACTAGCTTTATTTTTCTATACTGTTTTATAATTTGATAGAAATTAAGTGGTGCGACTACAATTAATAGCTAAATGTCTCAGTGAATCTCATGTTTTTGACTTGATAAATTCCTTCTATAACTTCAGGTTATTATCGCACAGAGAGAGATAAAGGAACACAGTATGAATTGTTTTATAAGAAGACCGATGTTATGGAATACAGACATGTCACGCTATTCCGACCATTTGGACCCCTCATGAAAGTGAAGAGTGAAACAGTTGACATTTCCAGATCAGTTATTAACATCATTGTCCCTCTTGCTGGAAGAACTGAGGCATTTGCACAATTCATGCAAAACTTTAGGTAAGTGCATCAGAGTCTAATTTGAAGTGTGTAGCTTTTCCTTAGTTTATCAAAGTGAAAACCTATTTTGATGGAACTTAGCTCTACTTCAGTACTATAATTTGCATAGAAATGTTATGGAATACTAACTGCTGCATGGAGAAATGTTTCTTCAAACAATCTTCTTCCTTATCTTTACACTAAAACACAAACCAAATACTCTAGCTAGGACTCCAACCTAGATTAAGAATGGCAGAGCCACTGGAGATCTGATGCTTAATTACACAATTTTGGTGGATGTATTGGCTTTAGAGCTACCTTATCAGGAATAAGATGCAGGCATGGAAGACCTATTTGAATCCGAAAGATGGGGCACAGGAGAACTAATGTGTTTCTCTCTTTAAAAGCTGCTAGATGAGCTGTGAAGTCTTTTAAAACTTTTTACAGGAAGATTAATGTCAACTATTGCACTATCTGAGGTGAATTACAACAGTGAATAACTTCACTGAATTGGTTTTTAGTTGACAAGAGGTGATTTTATAAAATATACCATATACATTAGCTCCACGTGACGTGAAATTGCTTTATGCAGGGTAGTCATTGTCAAAATCAAAAAGCTTGTAGGAAAATAATTTGCTTAGCCACTAACTTCAAAACACTTGAGAGAGAGCCCTTGCTAGAATATAATAATGGGTATTAACTCATCTTTATCATAGGGATGTGTGTATTCATCAGGACAAGCGGATTCACCTCACAGTGGTATACTTCGGCCAAGATGGGCTATCTGAAGTGAGGAGCATCCTGGAGTCAGTAGCTCGGTAAGTGAGCTAATCCAAATAGAAGGCTCTGAAATACAAGTGATGTTTATTGGTCAGTTTAAAAAAAACCTCACAAATAGTGAGAAAGAACTTGGTGAGTCAGTCACAGCCAAACAAAATTCATTTTACCTTCAGACAGTATGTTGTTCATCATTTTGATTCTTTTTAGCATTGTTTGTGGTTATTAAAGACTCTCTATTTTTGTGGGGTGATCATTTGAATATTCTGGGTCTGAAAGAATGCATAGCTGAGAGGTTAGGAGTGGTTCACTAATGGTTGGCAATGGATAGTATAAAACACAGTGGTGAGTTTTGTAGTAAATACTGGGTCACATGAACTGATGCTGACTGGAAAATTAAATGTGTAAAAGGTGAAATTATGGATACAATATGCTACTTATTATATGTCCCAAATAATGGTAACCGATTTCATTTAATGATAGTGAGTAGAAATGGCTGGTCACCTGTGACAAAATTAACACAGTACCCTGCTGCCAGAGGGCCACTCAATCTGTTATCCTGAGCAGTTCATCTATTGTTCTTAGCCTTCAATATGTCCCCTACTTGCACATAACTTTCCATGGATCACTTTGTAAATAAATGATGAAACCTGTTGGCCAAAGGTTATAGTGCAGATGGCTTGAAACAGCACCATGAGAGATTTGCTTGATGCACAGAGGTTGAGGAGTGTTTTTCCTCCACTGCTTCATCTGCAAAACCTCAGAGCAGAACTGTCAGGTGGCTGTCAGTGTGAAGAACACTGGTTTTTCTGTTGGGAAACTGACTTTTCCTCATTGAGGCCCCTCCAATTTCTTCACAGATGAGTGATCTGTTTCAGACTAGGTTTTGTTGACACAGTGGGTCCCGAGCTAGGTTAGGAAGTATTGTTTCCAAAATTTACTTTCTGAGCGATTCCAGATGGTATTTTGGGGCATTTGCTCATTTCCCCCAGATATGCTTCTCGTGTGCTTCTATATAGCTCTTTTCCACATTCCTTTCTCTTTAATGTGTGTGAGAGGCTGGTGGGGAGATAGAGTTGACTGGGCAGCGGTGACATTAACATATGGACAACTTGCAGCTTATTGCCTCACTTCCAGCCATCAGATAGTGCAGTTTGATTTCCCAGTGTGCTCTGCTCTTGAGACTGAGCGTCCCACTTCCAGAATCCTCTGAGACAATTTAGAAGTGCCTTTCAATCCACAGCTGCTCCTGGAGTTAGTGGCATCAGAGGCTCAAAGCGCCCTTTTAATCTGTCTGGATAACTACTGTATTTGAAATGTTACTGCATAGATTGTGGTGGCAGGAATCAGATCTCTCTCTCTCTGTCTCTCTCTCTCTGCAACTTGTAGATTGGATTATTAAACGTAGACAATGCTTAATGCTGCAGCTGTTTTCCCCCCGCCCCCATAATGCATGAGAAAAAACAGTAAGAACTATCCAATCAAAATAACTATCCAGAGCTAACTTATACTACAGTGGCAATTTATAGCACTGTAAATGCCATCCTTTTTCCACACTCCTTTATTTAAATTGTTTTCACTTTTTTTCCTTTATAGAGAAACTAATTTTCACAATTACACACTGGTCTCTTTGAATGAGGAATTTAATCGTGGGCGAGGACTAGACATGGGTGCCAGAGCTTGGGAAAAAGGCGAAGTGTTAATGTTCTTCTGCGATGTTGATATTTATTTCACAGCTGAGTTCCTTAACAGTTGCCGCTTGAATGCTGAACCCGGTAAGCTCCTGTTAAGTCACTGAAGTGGGGAAATGTTACCTTCTGAATTGGGCCTTACAATAACTTGATAAGACTAATTTGAATGGTGGAGTAATTTCAATAGTGTGGCTCTTGGAAGGAAAAATAATTCTGTGCACAAAATAACTAGTGTTGATGCAATATTAAGACTCAGAAATCTAGCACTCACATAGGAAGCTCAGAGAGTGGAACCTTACCTTTTATGCTTATACCTTAAAATGTGACTTCTCTTCATATCGTTATAAATGTCAGACAATTAAACTTAAAATACAAACTAAAATTCTCATACAATAAATGCACACTTTAAAAGCTGAGAATCTACAACAAGCCAAGTTTAAAAAAAATTATTTCAGTACCTTTAACAATTGGATCATTTCTACATTGATTTAAAAATAGTGTCACTTCAGAATAGAGCCCAACCATGGGAAATACTTACCCTCAAAAGAGTTAGTGTGAGAGAGTCAGGAGCAGTTCTAAAAGGAAATGGAATTTAGCTTTAAATATAGTATGTGCTCAACCAGTACCTGCTATAATCCTGAGCCTTTATATAGAGCTCCACATCTTACAAACCACTGTAAAACATTTATCTGCAGTGTTTAGTCCCCTCAACATTCTCGCAGGATAACTATCACCATTTTACTGCCAAGACATGGCAGTAAAGTGACATGCCTGAAGGCCACAAAACATGTTGCGGACAGAGTTGGAATTAGAATTAGAATTTAGGAGTTCCTTTCTCCCATTCTTCTCCTCCAGACTGTGCTTTCACAAGCATATGAAGCTTATCTATCTGTTTTACAAACTCTTGTAGAGAAGTTGAAGGCTTCTGTGAGCTAATATGCAAGCTAGCTACCACGGTGGCACAATGGGAATTTTAAAAATTTTACTCATTACAGATTTGTTGCATACAGAATATTTTTTATTTCCCCCCCCCCCCCTCTTTGAATGCCAATTTGCAAGGGAAAGATGCTTTTCCTTATGACGGGCAACAGACAATTGCAAACCAATTTGGCTTGAGCTCATTGCCTCTTATTCCTCTTTGTCTCAGCATTTGCATACCAGGGTGATGGAAGGCCATATAGGTATTTCAATAGCTTGAGCGATGTTACAGCACAGGGAATTCTTTGTGAACTAGCACTGTTGCAATGTCACAGAATGAAGTCAGCCTTGGAGCTGATCTCTACTCTTAATGGAAGTGGCAAGTCAAATTTGCTTGGAGTGGGAATTGGAGATGCCTTCCCTTGGCTGCAGAGGGTGCTTGAGTCTGGATATATAGTCATGTTGCCTCTTTGCTCTATTTCTGGGAGAAGGGAAGGATACTACTCAAGAAAGAGCCTTGGTGAGACAAAGGAACAGTGAGGATCACAAGTGCCTTCAGTATGGCTTTGGGTCCTGGTCTTAAGGCCCTCTTAAACTGAATCTACATGGAAAGCAAAGCTGAGGCTGCCTCTCTGAAAAGGTGCCCCAGCAGCAGCACAAGGGAAGGAATACTTGAGGCTTTCTCCCAACCTAGGTCACTGGCTTTGGAGAAGCAGACAGTGCATGCGGATTCCCAGTGTATGTAAGGGCTGTCGTAAGTATCACCCAAAACTCTGTGTGAGGCATAGTGTGGAATATTGGACAGGCCTTCTTTACCTCACCTGCCTGCCTATCTAAAGCTGGAGGAGTAGTCAGCAGCTGCAAATTGGTATCCCAGCATATCGAAAATAAACATAACTGTCACTGCAAGGGCCGTAGCAGAAAGTAAAACCACCCAAATTGACAGAGGAAAGAGGTGGTTCTAAAACTCTATCTGCCTAAACTTTCTGGTGGATGGCTGTTGGATTTTGATGGTCTTAATGTCCCTCTTAGCATTCATACTCTTACTGTTACCTTAGGGGTCCTCTGGAAGCCCTGGAATCCATGTCCACCTTAGCACAGCATCATGTTGGAGGCTGTATACCATTTCTTTTCTATGTGTCACTCTTGCTAGATGTTAATGGGCTCTCTAAATGGAAATTATGGGAGGCAGGCCATGTGCCTATGCTTTTTTCGTTAAATAGATTGATAATAAATAATCCCCATGAAAGCAATACTTCACAGCTGCCCTTTTCACTCAAAGATGTCCCACTATGAGTAACAAAGCTCTTCTGACTTTATAGGCAAGAAAGTTTTCTATCCCGTGGTATTCAGCCTTTATAATCCTGCTATTGTCTATGCCAACCAAGATGTACCACCGCCTGTGGAGCAGCAATTGGTAAGTGTTCTGATTTTTTAAGAAGTTTCGAGCATTGTACTTCATCTTAATGAGGCAGTTCAGTGTAGCAGCATATCTAAAATATCCTAGATACTTACCAGAGACATTGACAATGATATGAAACAGAACTTTTCCTATATTGGTTAGACATAAAAGAATAAGAGCTTGGGAGACAAACATTGTAATGGAAAGTGCCAAAACGCCAGTATTTCTGGATACATCTAGCTTCTACACAGAATTCAGTGGACTAAGAAACTAACCAAACACAGTTAGCAGTTGTAATTCAAAGGCTGTATTGTGGTTTTTAAAGCCATTGTCACAGTGTGATGGGAGAACTGTACTACACCAAGTGGCAGTTGCTGGAGGTAATCTCCTTGAGTAATGAAACATGCAGAATGTCTCTTGCTATTGTTGGGCAGGTGAAAGGAGGACACTGAGGAGTAGCTCCTACCCCTCCTCTTTGGAAAGTGCAACATGGGCTCCTTTGAACACTGGCCCAAGAATGCTAGCTACTGAGTGGTGATCAGGTGTATGGCCCTCTTTACCCTCGCAGTTCGGCAGAGGAGAGGAGGGAGATGTACTGCATCTCTAGTTGTGCTATCTGTCTCCCTCACCTAATGTACTAACAAAAGCGCTGGGCTTCTTGCTGCCTTCTGTGCAGGGCTATCTTACCCCCGCCATCCAAAAGCAGCCAGAATCCCATTAGAAACACTTATGTAGTGCCATTAATTTATATAGTGCTTTACAAACAGGAAATACTGCGTCCCTGAAGAGCTTGCAATCTAAATAAAACAAACATTGGACAATCATTTGAGAGACAGGTGTTGGAGTTACTAGGAAGACAAGGAAAGGAGAGTCTGTTGGATGGGGATGAGGAGACTGTTTTAAGTGAGAGAACAAAAGTGGGAGGTTACTAATGGTAAGGAAGACTAAAATGTAGGTGGTGCCAGGTTTATGTAGGGCCTCGGAAGAAAGTACAAAGAGCCTGAATTGATGTGCTAAGAGGTAGGAAGCCCGTGGAGAGATTCGGAAATGGCCTGAGTGGAAAACCACTTGTCAACAGTACTCTAGGCCAGGGGTGGGCAAACTTTTTGGCCCAAGGGCCACAGCTGGATGGGGAAATTGCGTGCAGGGCCATGAATGTAGAGCTAGGGCAGGGGGGTTGGGGTGCAGGAGGGGGTGTGGGGTGTGGGAAGGGGTGCGGTGTGCAGGAAGGGCCTCAGGGCAAGGGGTTGGGGCGTGGGAGGGTGCGGGGTGTTGGAGGGGGCTCAGGGCAGGGGGTTGGGGTGCAAGAGGGGTGCAGCAGGGGGTTGAGGTGTGGCAGGGGGCTCAGGGCAGGGGATTGAGGTGCAGGAGGGGGCTCAGGACGGGGTGGGGTGCAGGAGGGGGTGGGGTGTACAAGGGGGCTCAGGGCAGGAGGTTGGGGTGCAGGAGGCGTGAGGCAGGGGGCTCGGCAGGGGGTTCGGGTGCGGTAGGGGGTTTGGGTGCGGGGTGCAGGAGGGGGGTTTTGGGTGTGGGCTCCGGCCTGGCGCCACTTACCTGGAGTGGCGCCAGGGTGACAGCGGCATGCGGTGGGGCTAAGACAGGCTTCCTGCCTGCCCTGGCCCCACTCCGCTCCTGGAAGTGGCCTGCACCACCTCCCTGGGGAGGGGGGCAGAGGGCTCTGCGGGTACCTCCCCTGAAGCGCCCATTGGTTGCGGTTTCCTGTTCCCGGCCAATGGGAGCTGCAGGGGGTGGTGCCTGGAGGCGAGGGCAGTGCACAAAGCCTTCTGCCCCCCCTTCCCCAGGGTTCTCAGGGACGTGGTGCCGGCCGCTTCTGGGCGTGGCATGGGGCCCATGGCACCACGGGGGTGGCAATCTCGCGGGCCGGATCCAAAGCCCTGATTGGCCGGATCCGGCCTGCGGGCTGTAGTTTGCTCACCCCTACTCTTGGCAGACTGGGAAAGGGAAGGAGCAGTGAGAGTCAGTGAGCCTGGACATCAGAGAGCAACATACATCAAAATAAGAGATGGCCAGAGTGCAGACAAGGGTTTAATAATAGGGATTCTGCGTAAAGGGGATGGGTTTCTGAGAGATGAAAGAAGCAGCAGCAACAAGACTTTGTAAAAAGAGCCCAGAAGGATTGGTAGACAGAGTCCTTTAGAAGGGAGTAATGCGGCAGTGTGTCTGGTTTTTAAAGAGGGAAGAGGTCCTAGTTGATAGAAGAGTGAACTTTAAACTGCGAGAAGTCTGCCTAGTTGTCAGACTGCAAAATGTCTGGATAAATAGCATGAGACCAAGGAAGGAGGAAGCCAATGTGGCAGGAGAAGTGTTGGAATTAGGGAGATGGGGAGCAGAGGGAGTTAGCTGTAAAATAGGTGAATATGAAAGTTAGACCCTTTGGCATCAACAGACAGGTGGGAAGCAGAAGGAGAGCAGTTTTGCAAAAGGAATGTGTGTGAAGATAAAGGCAGGAAAGAGAATTACTGACTGGTTTCTGGGTATTCTAAATTAATAGGTCCCTCATTCCTTATGAGGCCCTTATGTTAGATGTTGATGACCCGTAACTAGAACAAACAGCAGGTATATACACTGTGAAACACAAATATCAAATGTTGTGTCAAGAAAATAACCAGATAAATACAGATTCTCCTCAAATGAAACACAGCCACAACATTTGCTTCAAGCTGTCTTGTATAAGGGGGAAAAAGCTAAAATGTTCATTTTAAAATTGTAGGTACACAAAAAGGATTCTGGCTTCTGGCGGGATTTTGGCTTTGGAATGACGTGTCAATATCGGACAGATTTCCTGACTGTTGGTAAGATGAATTTACATAAGTGTTTTTTTGCGAATTTTGGTGAGGGGAGTTCAAAAGCTCATCTATTACTATTTTCTTCTGTGATTTCAAGAAGGTAAAATGTTAATTTATCTTATTTCATTTCCTGCGTTCCCCAGTCAAACTTTCTGCTTGTTAGGTTTGACTTATTGTTTTAGACTGTTAAAGTCTTGGTTTAACAATTTAAGTATCAATAGCATTACATTAATAGTGTTCAAGAACATAAAGTAAAATATCTTACTACTTGCGAATGTATTAGTTTGACAGTGAATTCACCAAGCTTTTGAAATTTGTAGTACATGTTAATCTGTGTTTTAAAAATGCTATCCTTTCCTTTTAATAAGCGTACTTTTAAGTATTAAATGTTGACATGAGTATTGCAATTATTTAAAGTTTTGAAATATACTCTGGCACCCTCTTGTGGTTCAACATTAGAACTTAGGAAGGCTTGATTACTTCAGTTTCAAAACATAATTATATATATATTAAATAAAAGCGTCTGAGGGCAAGTGCAAGATTTTCTAGGTAACTTACCACAATCAATCAATTATGGCTGACACCAAGAGGAAGGCTGTTTTGAAACGGAAGTAAAATAAATATATATATAAAAAAAAACCAAACTGATTTCTAGTAACAATCCTATTGCTTTATCTTTGTGGTATATTAGATGATACACAATACATAATCCTAGCTTTTTTCATCTGCATATCAGCATAACTTCTACTATGCTTTTGGCTAGAAACATGGCTGGATGGACTTCTTTTAATCAAGAGTTTCTCAAACTGTGGTGCCTGGGGCACTTGTGGTCCATAGAGTTGGATTATCACGCGATGCTTGATCACCTTATTTGCAGTTTCTAAAATTAGAAAACACCCATTATTCATATTCATGAGAACAACTGCAGTAGTTGTCACAGATACTATCACTAAGGCTAAGATTTTTGTCATGGATATTTTTAGTAAAAGTCAGGGACAGGTCATGGGCAATAAAGAAGTTCACTGCAGATCTGTCCCTGACTTTTACTAAAAATATCCATGATAAAATGGGAAGGGGCTGGGCAGCTGTGGGGTGGCTGGGAGCTCTGGGAGCCCCCACCATCGATGGGGGCTCAGAGCTGCAGGGGTCCCGTGCCCCCCTGCAGCGGCGGCCAGGGAGGTGCAGGGGTTCTCCATTGCCTGCAGCAGCTCGGATCTTGGGGGCTCTGCTAACTCAGGCAGTGGGGGTACCACACAGCTCCCTGACGCTGTGGGAGATGGCGGGACCCTGCAGCTCCCAGCCGCTGGGGCTGAAGTCAGAGGTCTTTGGAAGTCACGGGTTCCATGACTTCCGTGACGTCTGACAAAATCGTAGCCTTAACTATCACCGATTTTATGCACAATGTGAATGGACCACATTATTCCATTTCAAAGTCTTGCTATAACCTGTGTGATGCCAGGAATCAATGTCCCATGGTGAAGCCAGTTTCCACTGCCAAACAGCATCGTGTGTTTTGAGTTACTCCACTAATATGGCATGTGCTGTTGGTATTTGCTGTAAAAGTGTCATTAAGTGATATTTTTGGTGGTAAATATCTACAGCATGTGGTAGAATGGTGGCTTTTTATGTTAAAGCTCATTTTTCATTATGCAAAACTAATGTTTTCTGATGTGTCTGTTTGTGCTACTATAGGGGGGTTTGACTTGGAAGTGAAAGGCTGGGGTGGAGAGGATGTTCACCTTTACAGAAAGTACTTGCACGGAGACCTTATTGTGATCCGAACCCCAGTCCCAGGCCTGTTTCACCTCTGGCATGAGAAGCATTGTGCTGATGAGCTGACTCCAGAGCAGTATCGCATGTGTATCCAGTCTAAAGCCATGAATGAAGCATCTCACTCACACCTTGGAATGCTGGTCTTCAGGGAGGAGATTGAGACTCATCTCCGTAAACAGGCCTATAGGACTAACAGTGAAGCAATAGATTAAAAGGATTCTTAATGCAAGTCCGAAGACTTTAAACTCACAATGAACCAGCATCATTCTACAGCCTTAATTCAGCTTACAAATTCAGTGCCTCTTTCAGTGAAGAAGAGTTTTTAACTTTTGTCTGGTATTCTGTTACCTACATATCTCACCAGTTCAGGCACCTGAGATGAGATAACTTTTGAAAGTAATTATTTCAATGAAAGGTTCTACAGTATTAACTTTATGGACAAATATAGCAGCAGAATGTATGACCGAACACTTTTTCACCTCTGATAATTTTTTTTTCATATTTGCATTATTGTAAGGTAAGGATTGCATTAATGGACAATATTTTGTCTTGTCTGCCAAGTATTGTTACACTCTGTCTTGCTCATTGCACTGTAACTTTAGATAGATACCATACTTACACATTCCAGGATAAAAACTAAACACACATGACCATGAAACTCATTGGGAAAATGTACACAAGAGCTTAATTAGTATGTTAATTAGGTTGCTGATTTCATGGCAATAATTTAATTAAATTCACTGTATTAACAGCTATCCATATAATTCACATTAGAGAAGAATTTATAGGAAAAAGGGACGTATGAAAATCTCTTAAAGGGGAATTCTAGAGTAGTTAGTATTGTTTGATATCAATGCAAAAGTAAGCTGGACATGTACCATTTGCTTATCCTAGCTACGGGCCAAAAAAAATTCCTCTTGCATATTTCAGGATGTACAAAGACAAGCAATTTAAATAAAAGCGGGTTACTTGTCTTCTGTTGCTTTGTATGGTATGATTAGATTCACCATTTTTAATATCCTTTATTTTCAGGTGAATGTTAAGATTCACTAATTTAGTGGGGAGTGTGGGGGAGTTGCATCTGCCGTCTCCACAAATTTAGAAATTAGTTGAAAACCACTCACTAAATCAACTAATTTTGGATTTTTTTTTTAAATCAGTTTTAGTTTCAAACACTTAAGGGCAAGTAGAGATTAAAATATGTGACTTCTGAATGCAAAATATGCTGTGTAAAATAGTGCTGTTCACTGATCTTTTTTTACATGTACATAAAATTTGCTTTTATGTAACTTATTGTGGAGAACAGTGTACTGTATTGTGTTTTAAAGAGGGGAGAATGTAATGCAAGATGTATTACCATTGGTATTACCGCTATGATGTATGAATAAATTTAATATTTCTGCATTTTAGAACTTTTCCAAGCTGCTCTATTGAAATTTTGTTATGAAAGGGGAAAAAATGTTTGACATCATAGGTACCAATAAGCCCATGTTGACATTCCAGACTTAAGCAATAATCTTTACAGCAAAAAGTTCAACTTACAGTTAATGTTGGGCAAGTGCAGATCCTACCAATATAACAGCTGAAAGTTATGGGGCAGATCCAGAGTTGGTATAAATTGGCATAGCTCTACTGTCTTTAATCCAGCGGTTACAATTTACATCAGCTGAGAATTTGCCACTAGGGAGCAACCATTTAAGCTCCTCCTCCTCACCTCTTCACGATACTTTGTGACCAGGAGAAAGGCCATGTCAATTGAGGGGCAGAGGTATAGGGGCTGGAAGTATGGGGACATGAAGGAAGAGGGCATGGGAGTGAATGGAGTTCGAGCTGGGTGTGGCTAAGGGTGGCAGAGAAAGGCGCAAAGCAGAAAGTTGCTGTGTTCTGGTATATTACTTATTGTTCATCAGATCTGAGGTCTTTTCTACTTACTTTTTCTTCCTTTACTGATTAAATCAGCTTCTGAAGGGCTCAACCTGGCATTGCTGCCTTGGCTTCCTTGGCAGTCCAGTAGGGAGCCCTCTATCTGCAGAAACACCATTATCCCTGACATTGGTGCATGAAATGAGGCCACAGCACTGGGGTGAGCCCTTCAAGTCTTGTTGACATGGTGCAGAGGTGCTAAGCTCCAACCCAATCCACGTCCCCACCATTATCACCACATAAACAGCCCCCAGCCCTTCCACCCTCACCCTTCACATCCATCAGCCCCTCAGAGCGCTAGGCAAACTGGCAATGTTGTGTTTTGCTTTGTAAGTAGAAGCTGACAGAACTCAGGAATGTCAGATAATCTTATAGTTTGCTTCATTTCAGTTATATCAAATGAGGGGAAGAGCTATTTCTCATAGTTCAAATGTGGTCTTGAGCTGAGAAGTAAGTTTGTGTCCATGAGAGAGAGAGAGAGGTTTGTGGGGACTGTTAGTTCAGCTATAGGAACCCCAAGGTAATCTTACTACAGGACAACTCTTCAAAAAGGAAGCATTGCCCTCTGGCAAAACAAAGAAAAAATTCTCTGAAAATATTGCCTGGAAAATTGTCTGATGTTGTACCAAATTTTTAAGATTACATGTAATCATTGACATGTGAAATGGAGGGAGTTTGGTCCTGTTTTAAGTACAAAGCTCTTGAGTGTCTCTGGAGTTGATACCAATGCCTCTGGTATTAAACTTGGGATTTCTTATCTGTACATTGGAGACAATTAAGCCCTAAAATGCAGTGACCACACTCATTGGTGGAAGTACCAACTTCCAAATAATGAATTTTGGCTGTAGCTCTTCTGCTTTTGCTTCACTGGGTTGGATTCAAGGAGTCAATCCAGTCCACTTGGTGTATGTGTCGGGCAGGTTCTTGGGGCAGTTCTTCACTGCGGAGTTTACCCAGGCTCTAATTTAGGTGTTGTCCCTAACATGGTTACAATCAATAAACAAATTTCTGACTAGACTTTGGTGTGTTCAGCCCAGATTAGCTGGTCTGCCTCCAGCTATAGGCTAAAGCCCGTGTACTGCTTACACTTTGCAGTGTGGATACAGGCTTATCAACTTGGGTACTGCTAGTCATCCAGTGTCTTCCCACAATTCCCCACTGCTATATTTTTCTTGCCATCTACCTACTCCCTTTTTCAGCAATGGTAGGTAACTTGCAGTGAAAATATACTGGTTTGGCATTTAAACCCTCATCATGTGCATTTTGGGGGTGGGCATGAGTGCCATACATGGGCTTGAATTGTGCTAGTGTTATTTCCTCAAAGCCTGCTGCTATTTTGTGGAAATTGTCACCATGTGTGGGTAAGCCATGGCAATAACTCTCATGCAAACATCCATTACCACAGAACTGTCAGTTGACTTGCCAGTGCCAAACTGGTTAGCCACTGACCTGGAGCTGTCTGTACAACCAGTTTCTAGATGGTAGCAACCCATTTCTCAGCTGCATGTCCTGCTGCTGAAGGGCCAGGACAAGTTCTCCACATAGCTCCAGGAAGATGGCCTTCCTCATGTGGAAATGCTGGGTGCACAGCTAGTCATCTCAGTCTGCATGATGAGGTAGTCCCACCATTCCACTTGTGGTCCTGTTCCAGAATGGCAAGTCAGCGTAGGTGAATTCTTACAGCTTCCACTAACCTGCGTTAGCTGAGGTCTCCACTGCTCACTGTCTGCATGCAGCCTATGATATTGCCTAAGCAAGGTACACCACTGCCTTTTCCGGGTGACAAGCCACTGCCAGAATGCCCTCCTTAATGTCTCATGTCCTGTATCTGCCTCCTGTTGCCAAAATGAGTCTCAATGCCAGCAATAAAAAGGGGCTATTGTCCTGAGTTGGATTTCTTGCCACCAATTGGAATGGAGGCTTTAGACAGAAACTAGTGTGTGCCAACCTGGTAGCAGTTTAGAGTTGGAGGGCTAAGAACATTTCTGCACAGGTGCCCAGAAAGGACAGACAAATTCTCCCACAATACCCTGGGAAAAAAATTCATAAAGTGGCACAGGTTGGTGCAGCACGAAGAACCATGGGATGTTCTTCCTTCCCCTCCGCCTACCCCCAATGCCTCTCACAAGTGAATGTAGTATCAGTGTGAACGCAGCAACTTCAGTGTGGTTTTGAAGTATCTGATCTTGTGCTTGAGCATGGCTAATTGAAGTGGCAATCGCCTGGATTAACTGCAGTGAAGACCTACCTTGGGAATGGGTTGGGTGGCTGGCAAGTCACCTACTTCCTAATTAAGACATTAGGAGAAGGTTTGTTCCCTCGCTATCAGTCAAAGAATTTTCAAGGCAGTCTGAGCACAAATACAGTACACGGACAGGTAAGAATATGGAATGCATTATTTAGTATTTCTCTTATGAACTTGTTTAACTTTCACTAAAGAAATAGTATCAGAGTCCTTGTGTTTTTTTTTAAAAAAAAAAGTTAATTTAAAGTTATAGGAAATAGTAAAATAGCAATACGCTGGGAATAAAACTGAAAAGTGAATTGGAATATGCACTATTAAAACATTATCATGAAGTAGCAAAATCTAATGACCACAATATATACACCTGTCTCAAAGCAAAGACGCTACTTTTGTTCCTTATACTGGAAAATGGTTTTGATATCCACATGCCTTTAATACAGGAGCCTGTTCAATTCCATTCAAGCTTTTTGACAGTCTGTGGGACACGTTAATAAAAATAATTCTGAAGTTAGAAATTTAAATAATTGTTCAAAAAGATATTCATTGATTGAAAACTCATCTCAGGTAATGATTATCAATCACTTATTTAGACCAAAACTTTCCCAACCATTCATACTTAATTTAAAACCACTTTGTAATATTTTTCTAAATGGCCATTTAAATTAAACCCAAGTTACAGTCATTGTTATAGCTGTTTGTTCTGTTGAAAGCATCTGCGAACTCTTTGGACTTCTAATGTCCACTTCAGGGCAGATTCTGGCCCTCTTCCTCACGTTTGGTATTTTCAAGAAAACCAGTGGGATATCTTGTGGCATAAGTTACTGTTCAGTTCCTAAGAGCACACCAAGTGCATTTACTGTGAACCCTGGAGTCCTCTCCTAAAATATACTTAGTTTGCTGAAAATTGAGTTAGTGTGATCTATAGTTTGTGTACAGGCAATGCTGCAGTGCACTTGCTGTTCTCCAACTGCTATCCCACACTGTTTTGTTGAGTGTCTGTGACCGACTTGTCTGTTTACCTTTGTGCCCTCCATTGCTCTGGGGTCAAGATGACTAGATCTCCCTTCCCCTGTTTAAAAGCTGGCATAGGACTGGCCTATTTGCTGCTGGATTCCAGTATTTCAGGATTACAGTGATATTACTCCAGCAACCTTTACAATATGCGTCAAGCAGCTGCTTGAGTCATAGTGAGATCCTAGAACTCATCGCCACTAGTGGAGAAGCATCAGTGCAACAAATGCTTGGGGCAGAGAGAAAAGGTTGAGAACCATGAACTAAATAGTCATTGGTTCTAAGGTGTGCTGTCCATTTACATGTTGTTGTTTGTATTGCAGCAGTTCCTAGGAACCCCAGTCATAGAGCAGGACCCCATTGTGCTAGGAACTGTACAAACACAGAACAAAGAGATGGGCCCTGCCCTACAGAGCTTCCAATCTACATATAAGACAAGTGACAACTGAAGGATGCAGACAGATGGCGAGAGTACAATGCACCAATGAGATAATGGTGTCTAAATTGACCAGACACACAGGGGAAGGGGAGAACACAAGCAGACTGAACAATGTGGTGGTGACAAGAATTGTGTTACTTCCCTGATTTTTTATTTGAGTAAGTTTAGTTAGGAGAGGGGGTCAGTTAGATGGAAGGGAAAAGGAAAGGAAGTGGGGGTGGGGAGACAAAGAAGGTAAGTAGAGCAGGTGTGGAGTGCTGTTGAGATGAAGAGACTGTGTGTGAAGCGGGAGGTGGGATAACTGCAGAGAAGCGGTTGGATCAAACAGCCAATCAGCACAGGGCAAAGGTGGTCAGAACAGGCTACAGTTTTGACTGGACTGTCCAGAGATCCCTGCTCTGGCTGCTCCTGCTTCTCCTGGCTGCTCTCTGCAGGTCTTCCCAAGGCCATATTGTAGGGGTGGGAAAGGCAACCATTGCCTGAGTTCTAGTGCCATGTGTGTGTGAGTGTGAGTGAGTGAGAGAATCAACTCTGCACAGTTCTATGTCTAGGAGATGCTAGGCAGGACAGTGGCCATGGCTGGGCCCTATTTTATCCCCTCCCCGCCAGTCTCTGCTTTGGCTGCTCCTGTTCCTAACTGCACATGCTTCCCTTTTGTTGACCTGTATACTGCATGTAGGATGTTGTCTTATTAAGATAATTGAGTAGAAATAATGGTATATATATTGTGTCTGCACCTCACAAACATGGATGAATTTATCCTTGCAACACTCCAGT